GAGGGCCCCGACGCTCGTACAATGGCTAATGCGGCTTACTGGAGTTGGAAATCGAGCGGCTCACGCCGGGCTCGCGAGCTTGCCAAACGCCTGCAGGCCAAAAAACCCGAACCAATGGCCCCATGCTATGGCGACATAAGGAAGAAGACTCACAGTCGGATGAGGAGGACATCCAACCGGCCGAGCAACTTCAATGAGTGCTCGAACCAGCTGAGACTAAGCAACGAGGAGAAGAGGCTTGAGCGGGCCAAGAAGGCCTTTGATAGGTTCAGCCGCGACCCGGATTACAGATTCCTCCACGAGCGCGTGTCGGATTACTTTGCCCTGTGCTTGTGGTCGGACATGGAGATGCTAAACACCGACCAATCGAACAAAATCAGCCTTGCCGTCAAGTGGTGCCCCTCCCTGGACTCTTCATACGACCAGGTGACTCTGCTTTGTGAGCCCATTGCCAAGAAAGTCTTCCCGAGGTCCGAATATCCAGAATACGAATTAGTCGAGGAGGTCCACTATGCGTATCGTGTTCGGGACCGTTTACGTAAGCAGGTTCTTGTCCCTCTTCGTAAAGCCCTCGAGCTGCCTGAGGTTTACATGAGCGCGAAACAGTGGAGTACACTCCCTTATAGCAGGGTATCCTCTGTTGCCATGAAAATGTACAAGCAGGTGTTTGTGGAGCACGATGAGCAGAGGTTCGGGGAGTATCTCGAGAAGGTTGACAAGGGTGAGGCCAAGATTGCTGCTGGAGCTCTGCTTCCGCACGAGATAGTCGCAGGACTTGAAGACGGTGACGACGGCCAGGTGGCGGAGCTTCAGTGGAGGAGAATGGTGGATGACATGGTGAAGTTTGGGAAGCTGAATAATTGTTTGGCAGTCTGTGATGTGTCGGGGAGCATGGACGGGATTCAATTGGATGTATCAATGGCTCTCGGGCTTTTGGTGTCTGAATTGAGTGAGGAGCCTTGGAAAGGGAAAGTGATTACGTTCAGCGAAAGTCCCCAGCTTCATACAGTCGAGGGTTCCAGCCTGAAGGAGAAGACTGAGTTTGTGATGGAGATGGATTGGGGCGGGAACACGGACTTCCAGAAGGTGTTTGACTTGCTGCTTCAGGTGGCGGTGGATGGGAAACTGAAGTCGGATCAGATGATCAAGAGGGTGTTTGTTTTGAGTGACATGGAATTTGACCAAGTGTCTATGAACCCATGGGAGACTGATTACGAGGCGATTGTGAGGAAGTTCGATGAGAAAGGGTATGGAGAATGTGTGCCGGAGATTGTGTTTTGGAATCTGAGAGATTCTCCGGCGACTCCGGTGGCGGCGGGGCAACCGGGAGTGGCGCTTGTGAGTGGTTATTCGAAGAATATGATGAAGGTGTTTTTGGAGGAAGGTAGGATTCTAAGTCCCCAGGCTGTTATGGATCAGGCGATAGCGGGCAAATAGTATGAAGAGCTGGTTGTGCTGGATTGATTCGGATGGATTTGGGTAAAGGGGAAAAGGTTTTTTTATAAGGATATCTGGTTTGGATTGGGTTGGATAGTTTGGTTGAATAGATTGGCCATATGGTTTTGATAATCTGCTTTGTATTTTTAGAATTGGCCAAAAGGATTTTGATCATTGCTCTATTTGTTGATATCAATGGAACTTTAATATTTTTTTTCTTTATTCCACTTTCATATCTATATATCTTCTTGTTCTGTTTGAGTTCATTGGCTATATTATATGTTTTGATAATCACCTTTTTATGATGAAAACAGTTTAGGTGGGGATTTTCCGGAAAAAAAAAAAAAAAAAAACCATTCTCGTTCGACAGGAACTTTAAAAATTTTACGTGATCTCTGAAAAAAGTTGTAGGAAAATACAGTATTCAATGTTTTATCGTGTGCATGTTTACGTACAAGTGCCTTATGCAGGCCTACCTGAGAGCGTATGATCTGAACCATGCGTTGCAGGTCTACAGAGAAATGTGGAGGAAAGGGCAACAAGCTGGATAGCTCGGGTACAACATGTTGCTGCTTCACGCCCTTGCTAAAGATGAAGAGGTCTGTTTTTCCCCCTTTCAATTCAATTATGATGATTGGCTTTCTGGTGCTTTTTCTGTTTGTTCATCAAGGATGCATAAAACAGCTTTAATAGTTTCAAGAGTTTCAAATTTTTAAATAGGCATAAACTGAGTTCCAAGTTCAGCACCTTCCCTGATCAACACAGTCTCTATCGAAAAATCAACGATAGAGGTCGGGTAAAACTACCCAAAGAAACGAGGATCGATTCCTCAGCCAGGAATAATCCCAAACATAGCGTTCACTACCGAATAATGAAACGCTTAGCTCATTCGACTCTTCCGACAAACCGTGACGGTCGTCACGTCAGCTCTCGGTCAAGTAGCTAGCCATGCCGGCAGTCTTAAATGAGCTTCCAAAGATTATAATGAACGAATATCAAAAGTGAAGGTGGCTCTGCACTCTATGATGTGCCTGTACCAGCCACGACTACCCTCCTTAAAAGATTCTCAAAATCTTTTAAGGTGGAACAACACTAAGCAGCACTTTTAGCAAAAGAACAGTCAAAGCCTGAGCTTAACACGACATAATACAAACACACACACACACACACACACACACACACACACACATATATATATACACCACAATTCTAGCACGAGACTAAGGTCTCTAGAGTTCATCCACATGCATTGGTGGGTAAATTCCTAAGCCCCATTTATCATATCAATAAGCAAGCAATGCACAATAATCATTTAGGTACTCATACCTGAGCTGGCGCGGCACGACGAGAGCGAGTGGTCATAACATAAGGTGTAACACCCCTCCTTATCGTAAAATCAGAGTGCGCTAAAAAAATTCGCAAAGTCACTTAAAAATAAAACCTTTACTTTGCGAAAACTGATTCGGGGTGCTACCTTTAAAAATCGTGACTTAACTTAGAAAATCGTTGTTTTAGTTTTAATAAAAATGTCCGGTTACTGAAATCATGAGTTTCTTAAAAGTTCGTCAAAACCATTAAACATCATCAAAAGTCATCAAAATATAAGCGGAAGCGTAAGTCATAATCATATTTATACAGT